AGGTTCATCCATTAGTCTTTCAAGAACAGCGCCGTGACTGTTTCTGTTTCTTGAGCCCCAAATGGTGGGACTTCGCGTTTAGATCACCTACGATCACGGTACTGTTTCCCAGTGCAGTGATACAGGTGACATCTTCCAGATATACGGACTTCTTCTATACATATATATATATATATATATATATATATATATATATATATATATATATATATATATATATATATATATATATATATAGAGAGAGAGAGAGAGAGAGAGAGAGAGCGAGGAGAGAGAGCGAGAGAGATAGATGAAAAGATTAAAATAACGACCACAGCTAATTATCATTTTGCATTTTATCATAACATAGTGGTTCTGAAAAGAACCGTTTTTTTTTTGTTCTTATTTTTCGAACCGTATAACCGTCGAAGCGAATACAACGTCTATATTATTTTGAACTGGTGTACTTGGTGACGGCTTTGGTACCTTCGCTGACTGCGTGCTTGGCCAATTCTCCCGGTAGCAATAGTCGTACGGCTGTCTGAATTTCTCTGCTAGTTATCGTGGCACGTTTGTTGTAATGTGCCAATCTGGAAGCTTCCGCAGCGATACGTTCGAAAATATCGTTGACGAAGCTGTTCATGATGCTCATCGCTTTGCTGGATATACCCGTATCGGGATGTACCTGCTTCAGTACTTTGTAGATGTAAATTGCGTAACTTTCCTTCCTCCTGCGCTTCTTTTTCTTGTCAGATTTTGAGATATTCTTCTGCGCCTTGCCCGCTTTTTTGGCAGCCTTACCGCTAGTTTTGGGTGGCATTTTATTGTGAGATGATGCTGAGTATAATCGACACCAACGCTCGACTAACGGAACGACTGGAACAGGAACACAAAGTTCCTAAGCGAACCCACCACCTCCCCGGTCCAGGTACCCTCACTCTTTCCGGCCCCAGTGGCGGTACGTGGACTGGACGCTCCTGCAACTTGTGTTCCTGTCGGACGCAAACCCCACCCCCCACCCAATTTTGCCCTTTAAATTTTCGCGCTTTTCCCCCCCTCGGAATTTTGCCCCGCCGAAAGGTGTGGTAAGCTAATCACGACGCGGAAGCACGGCTGCAGAACGGAAGTGGTCATTTATACTCGTGTACCTTTCTCCGGTTTTACGAGTCGTCCTCTATTTGGGGTTCCATCGGTGGGACCTTGACCTGAGGTCCGCATTAAGGTTTCCCAAGACGGCTTTTGGGTTCTTCGGTTTTTTGATTTTCTTTCTTGAGTGTTGCCTCCTGACCACGCCGACAAATGCCGAAGTCGTCAGAAGGCCCGCTTGTTAGTGCCATCTAAATGCCCCGCACCTCAAATGAGATCGGTGCATTCAGCATGGCAAATCTTCGCCGTCTGACCACCGGTACTGCACAGGACTTTGCCTATCTTGCATGCAGTACCTTCCTCGCGAGGTTCTACCCCTCTTCTTTAGGACTCATCAGCTGCTGTGTCCCATATCTTCTAGCAGCTGGCTCTTCGGTCTTTTGTGCCTATGTATGAACCTTGGATCGTAGTCCAAGGCGGCCTTGATGAGCTGGTTCTCGTGTTCTTCGGCGTTGTTGAAGAACTTCCGAGCTCTGGTCTTCATCACTTCGAGCACTGGCACTTGTCTCAGGTCTTCGTATAGCACTCGGTTTGGCACGTACCACGGTGCGTTGACCGCTTCTCGGAGTGCTATGTTGTGTTGTGCTTGGAGCTTCTTCTTCCACGTCTTGGCTGCGTAGCCCCAAGCAACTGACGCGTAGGTCATAATCGGTAGGAGCACCATCTTGATCAGCAGCATTTTGTTGTTCAGGGAGAGCTTGCTCCTTCTTCCAAGCATCGGTCTTAGCTTGGCTCTTGCCATCTTGGCTTTCTGCACTTGGGCTTCTATATGGTGTTTCCAGGTGAGACCCTTATCTATCTTGACGCCGAGGTACTTGCTGGTGTCTGTCCACTGTACCTCTTTTTCTTCGTCACGCACCAGGCCTCTCAGCACTTCTGTGGTTGTCATCTTGAGGTTGCCTTCAGGGGTCTTGCGGCTCTTCCTGAGGAGCATCGCCTCGGTCTTATCTGGATTTAGCTGGATCCTCCATTTCTTGCACCATTCCTGTAGACTGGTTGTCGCTCTTTGTAGGTAAGTCGTAGCCATGCGGGGCTGAAATGACTCGGCTACGTACGCAGTGTCGTCCGCATACATCAGCAGCTGCGTATTTGGGGTCTTCGGAACGTCGGAGCTGTAGATGGCGTATAGTAGAGGGGATAGGACCGCTCCCTGCGGTACCCCAGCCTCTGCAGTTCTGGTCGTCGAGGTGGTGTTTCCCAGTCTAACCCGGAATCTTCGGTTCTTCAGATATGACTTCACCAGCTGAATCATCCCTGTCGAGTATCCCTTGTCTTGCATCTTATAGATGAGTCCGTCGTGCCAGACGGTGTCAAATGCCTTCGCGACATCCATGAACACCGCCCCCGCGACTCGCCGAGCCTGGAACGCACGCGTCCCACACTCCACGAGCCGAAGCAGCTGGTGCTCTGATGAATGGCCGCTCCGGAATCCGAACTGTTCGTCTGGCAGTACTCTAAGGTCCTCGGTTTGTTGTCTAAGTCTTCGCTCGATTGCCCTTTCTGCAACTTTACTCAAGGAAGTTAGTAAGCTGATTGGCCGGTAGTTTTGTGGGAATTTTGGGTCTTTCCCAGGCTTCGGGATGTTTATTACTTCCGCGATCTTCCATCTGTCCGGGAAGTATCGGTGCCTCAGCATAGCGTTCACGATGTTGGTTATGGCCACCATGCCCTTTCTCGGGAGCCTCTTCAGGATTCTGTTCCCTATTCGGTCGCAGCCCGCTGCTTTTCTGGTCTTTAGAGTCTTGATGATGTCCCTGATTTCCGTCGGGGAGGTGGCTTGCTGCACCATTTCTCCTCCTCTCGTAGCTCTTCTGGATCTTCTTTCCACTTCTTCTACGAAGTCTTCGTCCTCATCTGGGTGCATGTATGTCGTACACTGCCGTTGTAAGTTATCTGCGAATGCTTCGACCTTCTCGTCGCTCGTGTACGCGGTCCCGTAGGCTCCTTGCAGCGGGGGAACTTGTTGTCTGCGATTTCTCAGGATCTTCGCTAGCTTCCACATTCCTGGCTCACCTGGTGTTAGTTCCTCTAATTTTCTTTGCCAGCTGCGTTGATGGTGCTCCATCAGGGCTTTTCTCATCTCTTCGGTCTTCCTTTTTAGCTCTCGTTTGTGTTCTGGGTCTCCTGTTCGTTGAGCTAGTCTTCTTGCCCTGTTTCTGTCGGTGATCTTCTGGTTCACCTCTGGGGGTAGGTCTCTGAACCTGTTGGGCAGCGTGATGTCTTCTACCGTGGTAGTAGCATCTAGCGCGTCCTGGATCTTCCGTTCTAGGCCCTGAACTGCTTCCTCTATGCCTTCAGGAGTCTCTATCTGAGGTAGTGGGCCGAGTGAGTAGTGAAAGGTTCGCCGGAACCGGTCCCAGTTCACTCTTCTGGCTATCCTCTTCTCCACGTTTGGTGCTCCCTCTCCTATTTCCAGGAATATGGGGTTGTGGTCAGAGCTTCCTTCTTGTAGAACACCAATGTTGCAAGACACGTCTACCTTTTTCAAGATAGCAATGTCTATTACATCAGGCCTTGTACCGTTGTCTGGGTACAGCGTGGGTTCGTCAGGTCCTAGTATGGAGTACTCCGGTTCATCCATCAGCCTCGCAAGGATTTCGCCATGTCTGTTGTTCGTGCGCGAGCCCCAGATCCTAGATTTGGCGTTCAGATCTCCTATGATGACAATGCTCTCGCCCATTCCGCTGATTTGCGTGATGTCGTCCATATGCAGAGTCACCGTTGGTGGTATATATACCGAGATGATGTTCAGCGTGCCGTAGTCCTCCGTGTACACGGCTATTCCTACTGCTTCTGTAGTCCTCAGATCGGGGATTCCTAGCAGGTCGTGGCTGATGCTGCTCCTTACGGAGATCAGCACGCCTCCGCCTCTCTGGTCTCGGTCCTTCCTGTACGTCGTGTACCCTGGGAAGGTCCAGTTTGGAACTCTGCTTGAGAGCATTGTCTCTTGTAACGCCATCACATCGTAGTCCCCTCGAGTTAGCAGTTCTCCTATCTCGTACTTCTTGTTGGAAGCACTATGTACGTTCCAACTCAATATCCGTAGGGTCCTAGATGTTGGCAGGCTGCCCATTTAGTTGGCGTTTCTTCTGTTCTTGCTTGTCATGAATGCCTCCTTGGCTTCGGGGGTATTCATGATGAGCCTCTTCATTTGGGCCATGTGGGTTTCCATGAACCTCTTCAGTTCATCCCCGTCTTCTTCTTCCCGGTTTGTGGAGGGTCTTTCCTGCCTTCGGGGGGCCGTCTCGTTGCTTCTTGCAGCCCTTGCGTAGCTCTGTCCTGGTCTTACTGGGGCTGGCTTCGTGATCTTCTTCTTCTCCTCCGCGGCGGGTTTGCTCTTTGGTTTTGAGCTCGGGCGTCTTGGGCATCCCCCGTAGTTCGCTGGGTGGCTCCCACCACAGTTGGCGCAGGTTGCCGCTCTTTCTTGTGGCACTTTGCACTCCGATGCGCGATGTGCCCCTGCACATCTCACGCACTTCGGTGCCCCGGAGCAGTTCTGCTGGCTGTGCCCGAACTGCTGGCACCTGTAGCACTGGCCCGGTCCTTCTCTCTTCTTCTGTGCTTCGATTGTTACGATCATCTGACAGCATTCTGTCAGATCGTAAATCCTCTTTTCTTCCTTTGGAAGATCCACCTTGACCAGCGGGATCTTCTTCCTGGTTCGCCTGCTGGTGAGTCTGTTGACTCTTCTTGGGTGGAATCCTTTAGATTCCAGGTCCTCTTTAACTTCGTCCTCCCCCGTCATCAGTGGCATGCCCCTGATGATAACTGACAGGGATTTTTCGTCTGGCAGGGAGTATGTGTGGTGTTCCACCTTGTTCTCTTCGAGCGTCTTCCTTACGCTTCTGAATTCTTCTTCGGTCGTCAGTTGGACCTTTATGCCGGTCCTGGTGAGTTTTGCCGGCTTGTCGGCTGGGATCTTCTTTCCCCTCTTCATTGTTTGCCACTGGTCTTCCCTATGAATATATAGGGGTGGCGGCCTTCTTGTTTTAGGCTTGGGAGCTGGCTGGGCCTGCTCGGTGTCCATCCTGTCTTCGGTGGTTGACGGGGGGGGTGGGGTGGTCTTCTCCTCCACTGTCTTCTTCTTTGGGAGCGGGGGGAAGGGGTCCACTGCCGCTTTCTTGGAGGCTGGTTTCTCGTCAACCTCCTCGGTCTTATCGGCCTTCCTCTTAGTCTTCTTTTTGGGATCGTCTATCTCAATCCCTTGTCTAGCGGCCATAAGCTCGATGAGCTTGGCCGTCTTCTCGCGCTCTTCGGCGCTTATCCTTCTCTCCTCCAGTAGCTGACGCGTCAGGTCCGCTAGCTGGCAGGATAGTTCCGCTATCTGCCTCTTGAGCTCGCGGTTTTCCTCTTCCATCCTGTTTGGTCGAGGTTCCTCTTCCTGGACCTCTTCCTCCTCTTCGCTGGACGAGGAATACGTGTTTTCGTCGTCCAGCATCTTGGTCACCTTATCTATGGTGTCGCGCTCGATCACCACCATCGACTCTTCCGAGTTCGATTCACTTCACTGCACTTTTACACAATTTCCAGTTGTGACCGCACTCTGGAAATTGTGTATCACTCTCGCACTGGTGCCTTCTCGGCTCGCTTCTGCACGATTCTCAGTCGCCGCACTCTGAGAAACGTGTACCACTCGCGCACTGGTGCCTTCTCGGCTCACTGCACTCCGGCTGTGGCTTCGTCGGCCCACTTTCACACAATTCTCATTTGTCGCCGCACTCTGAGAATTGTGTACCACTCACTCACTAGTGTCTTTGCACTTCACTACACTTCACTGTGGGTTTGTCGGCCCACTTTGGTGCGTCTGTTTTCGCTAAGTCGCGCTTTTACACAATTCCCAACGAGATGGGAATTGTGTAATGTTTCTTCGTCCACCCGATTTAGGCTTTGCCTTATCGAGTGGGTGTCTCACTCGCGTTTCCGCGTTTTTCTCGCGTTTCCGCGCGTTGGTCGCGTCGTCGCGTCGCGATCGCGTCGCTGTCGCGTCGTCGCTGATCGGTCGCTTTGTCGCTTCGGTGTCGCCTTGTCGCTTGCGGTCTCACTGGTCACGTCTGCTATCCTCGGTGGTTGGCTGCTCTAACGGGGGAACGACTGCAATTCTCTGGCCGTATTTAAGACAGGTGACGTTACGACCGTAGACTCCGCCCCCAGGCGTTTGCCGGCAAACGTTCGCGTCGATTGGTCGGTTAGTTCATATAAATACAACGTTCGCGGAGATCATGTTGTGCATTTGCAAGTTCATAGTCGACGTCGTTCGTTTAGCAGATTAACAAATTGAATATGTCAGGACGCGGAAAAGGCGGTAAAGTTAAGGGAAAGGCAAAGTCCCGATCCAGCAGGGCCGGCCTACAATTTCCCGTCGGTCGTATCCACAGGTTATTGCGAAAAGGGAATTATGCTGAACGCGTCGGTGCCGGAGCTCCCGTATATCTAGCGGCCGTTATGGAATACTTGGCCGCTGAAGTTTTGGAATTGGCAGGCAACGCTGCTCGCGACAATAAAAAGACCCGTATTATTCCACGTCATCTGCAATTGGCCATCAGAAACGACGAAGAATTGAACAAATTGCTTTCAGGCGTCACAATTGCCCAAGGAGGAGTTCTCCCTAATATCCAAGCTGTTCTTTTGCCGAAAAAGACGGAGAAGAAAGCCTAAAAAAAAAAATCTTCTGAACATACAATCGGCCCTTCTCAGGGCCAACAAGTAATTTAATAAGAAAATGAAGGGATTATCATTTGTATATGGAAAAATTTTCTCAGGGTGATATCGGATCGGTTGTGGCGCGAGAAGTTGGCAATAACTAAATTATTTAATCGAGGCATCTCATCGTCGCATTCACGTCTAATATTCGCCGGTATCTCGATAATGGGACATATCGGGACCGAAATCGTCGATTATTGTAATTCAAAGAGCCAAAACGTATAAGTCGATCAATTTCTCATATTCCGATAAACTCATTTATGTGAGTGTTTCTTTTTATTTTGTATAAAAAAAAATAGAAAATTAATGTGGCGGTTCAATCGGCAGATCCATTCTTTCTCACGAGAGTATATGGTGGTTCTGAAAAGAACCGTTTTTTTTTTCTTTGTATTGTATTTTCGTTCAACCTGTACCGTGGTAATTGCTGCGGAGTGTTTAACCACCGAATCCGTACAAAGTGCGTCCTTGTCTCTTTAATGCATATACGACGTCCATTGCAGTGACTGTCTTCCTTTTAGCGTGCTCGGTGTAAGTGACTGCATCCCTGATTACGTTCTCTAAAAAGACTTTGAGCACTCCTCGAGTTTCTTCGTAAATCAATCCGGATATACGTTTTACTCCTCCACGTCGCGCCAATCTTCTTATGGCCGGTTTCGTAATTCCCTGGATGTTATCCCTCAAAACTTTACGATGCCTTTTCGCTCCTCCTTTTCCCAATCCTTTACCACCTTTACCGCGTCCAGTCATTTTTCAAGATTCTCTCGCACGTCGAACTGTTAAAGCGAACGGGCTGTTGCCAACTGACGGTACGTCTCTCGTGACGCCCGGTTTTGTTAGCGTTGTCGTCCCTCCTATTGGTCTATCAATTGGCCAATCAGACTGTTTCGTATTTCGAGCCCATATAAATATAACTGTTCGCGGTGTTTACCTCCGCTCACTATAATATTGTCCGTTGCAATATTCACGTCGCTGCTATATAGATAATTTATATTCAGTTATCTGAAATTTAACGTAATGGCGCGTACCAAGCAGACGGCTCGTAAATCCACCGGAGGTAAAGCTCCCAGGAAGCAATTAGCCACGAAGGCTGCCCGTAAAAGTGCTCCTGCTACTGGCGGAGTTAAGAAACCTCACCGTTATCGTCCGGGAACTGTGGCTCTCAGAGAAATTCGTCGTTATCAGAAAAGTACCGAATTGTTGATCAGAAAATTGCCTTTCCAACGGCTGGTCCGTGAAATAGCGCAAGATTTCAAGACCGATTTGCGATTCCAAAGTTCTGCTGTAATGGCACTCCAAGAAGCTAGCGAAGCGTACCTGGTCGGACTATTCGAGGATACGAACTTGTGCGCGATCCACGCTAAGCGAGTAACGATCATGCCGAAAGATATACAGCTGGCAAGACGTATTAGGGGCGAACGTGCCTAATGGAATTGACGGATTTACTATTTGCCGGAAAGAGAGAGAGAGAGAGAGAGAGAGAGTACGGCGTGCGATAATAGGTTATAAAAAAAAAAACGGTTCTTTTCAGAACCATCATATAGTATGTTCAGAAAAAGGGGATCGTGTATTATGTTAAGTATATCAGATTGTTGTTTGTACGCGTGCAATTTCGACACTATTATCGTGTATGCAAAATAGCGCTAAATGGTTATACGATAGTCGCTAGTTATTACCCGTTATCCTATATCGAAGGATTGTGGTGCTTTGTAGTAAACCGTTACATTGATATTATTCTAATAACGTACGAATTGTATGTATGTGTATGGAAGTAAAATAACTTATAAGTAGCATGTGATTATAATGTAGATAATTCGACATAATATAGATATTTTGCCGTATATATTGCTTAGGCGTTTAGGCAGGCTGTTAGCGTGTAATACGTAACATTAGGTACTTTCACGTAGATCAAAAGTCAGTAATGCGTACGTCTAATAATTAATATGTAGTAAGAGATGAATTTATAACTCGATCGCTCGTATATTATATATAATATTTTTCTACTCTGGCTTATTTATTACGAATAATAGATTGATGTCTCATATTATTATCTATTTTGTCATATTACAGGAGTAATGTTAAAATTATCGCGATATATTTCGCGACTGTGCACGTTCGGATGTACGCCAGACATACCTCCGTATAATTGCGATTATCTAAAATACCTTATCCATTAGCCGTATACCGACAGTATAATTGTATTACGAATAGTCGTAGATTGTTAATTTCATGAAATATCTAATTATATAACGTATTCGTATAATATAAATTAGATCAAAAAGCCGGACGATTAGGTCCAAAGCGGATACCTTGCACGTTTCACCTTATAATTTTATCGTGTACGTAGCGTACGTGATCAAGTCGCGAAGTTAAATGTGTATTTCAAATTATGCAGATTTCATATTCGTTCAGGTTTTAGCTGTTGCTCGTATGCAATTATATCAGCGACTCAAAAAACCAACAGATACGACCGCAGGCTTGGCAGAATTGAAGCCGTCGAAATCGGTTTCGCTGCAAAGTCGGAGCGTTCAATGTTCGGTCCGACCGAAATGACTTGGGTCACGACGCTGAATTTACCTCTCACATTCATTCGACATTCGTTCTCTTAGCGAGATCGTCGATCAGTGATTGCAAAAGATCGCGCGTATACAATAATCTGTCTCCTCTTCACGACTCGTAAACATGGCAGATACGGAAAACCAGAATTACGCCGCGTCGGCTACGGCTACCGCGAATTCTGCGTCGCCGACGTCGCAGTCGTCTGCGAAAAAGGAGAAAAAACCGAAGAATCCGAGGGCGAAGCCGTCTCATCCTCCTACTAGCGAAATGGTCATCAACGCAATTAAAGGATTAAAAGAGCGTGGCGGGTCGTCTCTGCAAGCTATCAAGAAATACATAGCCGCTAATTACAAAGTAGACGCTGAGAAAGTTGCGCCTTTCATCAAGAGGTACTTAAAATCGTCCGTCGCGTCTGGAGCTTTAGTACAGACGAAAGGCAAAGGAGCTTCCGGATCGTTCAAGCTAGCTTCGTCATCGGCTGGCGGAGCGTCGAAAACTTCATCATCGTCAGCCGCAAAGGTTGGCGAAAAGAAGAAGAAATCCGCGACCGGCTCAAAGAAGAGCGGAACCGTAGCTAAGAGAGCTAGCGGTGCGAAATCTGCGAAGAAGGCATCTCCGAAGGCTAAGAAACCGGCGGTGGCCGGTGGTGCGGCCGAGAAGAAAGCTTCTCCAGCTAAGACAAAGAAAAGTGGGAAATCGGCGACGTCGGCTAAAGCTTCTTCTGCTGCACCTTCTGCAGCGGCTGCAAAAAAATCTCCTTCGAAGGCGAAGAAATCCAGCAAGGGAGCTCCGACCAAGAAGCCAAAAGCACCAAAACCGAAAACGGCGAAGGCTGCAACATCGCCAAAAAGGAAGGCCGCTTCACCCAAAAAGAAGAAATAAAAAAAAAAATTTAGACGTGTTGCAACGTCGTAGATTACGGCTACGTCGGTTCGAGACGTTATATTTATGCGAGAGGATGCTATACGTCCCCGCGGATTGAAAATGGCCCTTTTCAGGGCCACCACTATTACTATAAAAAGGATACAGAATATTTACGAATTAGCAATTTTGTATCGAAATATACATGTACAACTGCGGCTCGTACGTGCGTTGATGTTTTTTTTTTTTTTTTTTTTTATTAAATTCGAGTATTATTCGTTTACGATTAGGTATTTATAAGCAAGTGGTAATGTTAGGCGTCGTCACCATCGATATTTGCTTTTAAGGGTATAAATAAGTATGTATTGTGTTTAATTAAACGAATGAACGTTAAACAGTCGATTGCGTCGTAAGGATATCCCCTTTTTTTACGCTTTCGTTTACCATTAAATAATCCGGTCGGGTCTTATATCAGACGTTATTGCTTTAGTGGTGTATGTATATCACGAATAATCATCTGGTATTCAAGTACCAATAATATATATGTTGCGCGTACGGTGATATCATTATCTTTACTTGATAACTTTAGTGGTTCTGAAAAGAACCGTTTTTATGTTGTAAGTTGTTGTTGATGTTGTTGTTGTCGTCGTAGTTACATATTACTTCGAACTGGTGTACTTGGTTACGGCTTTGGTACCTTCGCTGACGGCGTGCTTGGCCAATTCTCCTGGTAGCAATAGTCGAACGGCTGTTTGAATTTCTCTGCTAGTTATCGTGGCACGTTTGTTGTAATGTGCCAATCGGGATGCTTCCGCTGCGATACGTTCGAAAATATCGTTGACGAAGCTGTTCATGATGCTCATCGCTTTGCTGGAAATACCGGTATCTGGATGTACCTGCTTCAGCACTTTGTAGATGTAAATTGCGTAGCTTTCCTTCCTCCTGCGTTTCTTTTTCTTATCAGACTTGGAAATATTTTTTTGAGCCTTACCGGCCTTTTTAGCTGCTTTACCGCTAGTTTTGGGTGGCATCGCGTTTCGATTTACACAAAAAGTACGATCTTTACTGACACAATATCGTGATCTATAATGGAAAGGTGTGCGGATAAACGGCGAGCTTTAACAGCCACGACGTTACCGACATAGACTCCGCCCCTTACGGGTGACCGACAAACGAAAACGGTGATTGGTCGGAGTAGTTATATAAATATACTCGTACCTAAAGACATTGCCATTCTATTCTATTAATTCGGTCAACGACAGCAGATTGTAGTCGTCGATTCGCAAGTCAAAAAAGAAAATAATAAACAAATAAACATGTCCGGACGAGGAAAAGGCGGAAAAGTGAAAGGAAAGGCAAAATCCAGGTCTAGTAGGGCCGGTTTGCAATTCCCTGTAGGTCGTATACACAGATTATTGCGTAAAGGAAACTATGCCGAACGCGTCGGTGCCGGAGCTCCTGTGTACCTTGCCGCCGTTATGGAGTACTTGGCAGCCGAAGTGTTAGAGTTGGCCGGCAACGCTGCTCGCGACAATAAAAAAACCAGGATCATTCCACGTCATCTGCAGTTAGCAATCAGGAATGATGAAGAATTAAACAAGTTACTTTCCGGCGTAACTATCGCCCAAGGCGGAGTTCTTCCGAATATTCAGGCTGTCCTATTGCCGAAAAAGACAGAGAAGAAAGCCTAAATAATAATAATAATAAGAAAATAACGTCAAAACTAGAAATCGGCCCTTCTCAGGGCCACACAATTCGTTTGTTGAAGAAAAAATAGAGATCATCGGATCAGGAAACAAAAAAAAAATCACGTAATATTTTGCCGATATTCCTTCATGCTGTTTGGGATTCAAGTAACAACAGCCCAATAACCGCATGATACAGTGTGATGTTACGTTTCTACGATACGGATCGTGACATGGAAAATGCAACAAATAATACCAATTCTTACTTACCGTAACATTTTATGTTTACCTAGCATCGATGGGTTGTGGAGCTCGACTATATGGAGATACCTTGGAGGGATAGTTACTTTCTAGAGGTACTGTCGGAATGATAGAACTTTATTCCAACGCAATTTTACATACAATGCCGCTAGTGTCTATAACGACAATCACGTTAACTCTCCCTCTCCCCCCCCCCCCTCTCTCTCTGTCTCACACATTGCTCTTCCCCCCACTCCTCAAGGGTATGAGGTTGCCTGGAACAGGGGTGGTGGAGGGACCGCACAGGGTAGGAGGGTGTGTGGTGTGTGTGCGCGCAACATCAGTTCCGAGCTAGCAGCCGTTGCGAGTGTATACTTGCACGACTGCGACACACCCGGACATATTGAGCAATCTTATTGCGATAGATTGGTTGTTTGTCATTTACGATGGCGAAAATTGAGAAGCTGGCTAACCAGCTGAAAGAGAAGAAAGATGCTGTCGCCATGCTGGCAGAGCAGATGCGAAACCTGCAAGAAGCCTTCTTGCAAGCACAACAGGAGATCGAGGACCTGAACGGGAAGCTCCGCAGGGCCACGAAGAAGGCCGCAAAGAAGACCGAAGAAGGCGAGGCAGAGGACCACCAGGCTACGTCGGACGAGATGGACGCTCAAGAAGAGGACACCCAACGGACCGAAGAGGATAGGACCACGACAGAGACAGCAAGCAACGACGACACCGATTTCAGTGTCGCCACCAGACGGAAAAAAAAAAGCGGGTGCGAATTTCCTCCTCCGAAGACGAGACGCCAAGGCAGCCAAAGATGCCAGCTGCCGCCACCAAGAACGAGTCCTAGAGCAGCCAGGACCGCCGATGCAAACATGTGCCAACTGATCCAGAGCTATCTAACACAAAGACGGTTCGCGGTGAGGATTGGTACATGCCATTCAACACGACGACAGCTGGTAGCAGGCGTGCTCCAGGAGTCAGCCTCAGTCCCCCCTGCTCTACAACATCTATACTCATGACGTACCGAAGACAGCTCACACAATGCTGGCCCTATATGCAGATGACATTGCTATCGCC